AATAATGGACCACTACTGTAAGGAACTTGCGTTGGCCCTTGAACAGGGGAAAGGGCCCAGAATGTCCAAACCCCAAGTGGCGAACGACCAAAGATTTGAGACTCTTTGTAACTTACATGTTGGTTGATAATGTAGGGGTGCATATTTCTAGTACTCCTCACATTTTTGGGAAAATTCTTCAGGATCCTTGAGTAGTGTCAGCCAGAAGTAGCATTATTGTTGTACCAAATAAGCTAAAGTTTTCCATCCAGAATGGCTCTCGCATTCTCCAAGTACACCTCCCTAAGAACGTCCAAAGCTTTGTCTACCCATAGGCACCTTAGGTATATCGGAGTAAAATGATTGCCTGAAAAGCTTTCCTTCAATTATAAGATATAGTGCGGCTTTGATTTTGAAGCATCTCGGATCTACAACATCTTCTGACTCCTTCCCTGTCTCAAGATGGACTATGTAAGGATCCATCCAACCTTTTGTTCCTTCGGCTTGAATAAACACTTCCATCATTTCTAATTCCTTGGTTGCTGGTCAAGTGAGTCTTTGTGGAGCCCCACCCAAACTCATGTAGTTGAACATGATATCAACAACTTGGTTTTCCTTGCGACCCATGTGCTCTATGTAGAAGTTTTTGAATAATTCTATTTCTTTTCATGTCTTGGCAAGGTACTTGGTCAACGGTTCGTCTCAGGCCTCGAAATCCCTATTGAATTTATTTACGACCAACAAGGAGTCTGATTTTACCATCATCTCGCGAGCGCCTATCTCGTAGGCCCTAAAGAAAACCAGCGATCAATGCCTCATACTCTGTTAGGTTATTTTTAACTTAGAATTCTATAGCGACAGACTGTTAAACTTGTTCTACAACTAGATAGCTCAATGCCAGTCTAAGTTTGATGGTCATCTGTTTGGATGCCCCGTCTATGTATAAGGTCCAAGTCCTGTTGTTGGTTGGGTTCTCTTGGCGTGATTCTTCCGCCTCAGAGAAGTTTGCGAGAAAATAGACGATTATTTGTGCCCTGTTAGTCGTTTGGGGGACATACTTGTTGTCGTATTCACTGAGTTCTACTGCCCATTTCGACAATAGATCAGAATGTTTGGGTTAAGTGAGCACAGATTTTAACGGATGATCAGTGATGACTCAAATTGGGTGCGCCTGAAAATACAGTCAGAACCTGAGAGAAGAGATAATTAAGGTAAGTGTCAGTTTCTCCATAATCGGGTACCTAGTTTCGATGCCTCGAAGAACTCGGCTGGTGTAATATACAAAGAATTATTTTTCTCCCTCCTCTCTGACTAGTACTAAGCTGACTCCCCTGACTCCAAGCTATAACGACAATTGTTCTACTGGCATAGGACTTTGGAGCAGCAGAGGCGATGCTAGGGCCCCTTTTAGTCTTTGAATGCTGACTCACATTTGGTTGTCCATTCGAAATACTAGTTTTTCCTTAGAGCTTTGAAGAATATAGCACACTTGTCGCCAACATTTGAAATGAAGCGGCTGAGTCCCACTAATCGTCCGGCCAGCCTTTGTATCTCTTTACAGTTTCGAGGGGATGGCATGCCTAGGATCACCCGAACCTTCTCTATGTTTGCCCTTAGCTCATCGGTTAATAAGAAACCTAGAAATTTGTCAGTCGACACTCAAAATGTGTACTTCGAAGTGTTTAAGTTCATGTTATATTTTTTAAGAATTTCAAATATTTCTTTTAGGTCTGCTCAGCTAATTTACTTTTCACTAGGACATTATTGACATACATCTCAACATTTTTTCTCCCTTCTGATTTGAAAATAATACATCTATGATGCATTGATAAGTCGCCCCGACATTTTTTTGACCGAAAGGCATTACATCGAAATAAAAAACCCTTTGTGCTGTAATAAAAGCAGTTTTTTCAGCATCGGCCAAGTGCAAATTTTTCTTGTGATAGCCCGATAAGGCGTTAAGGAAGCCCATCAAAGGGTAGCCCACCACTGAATCAACCAGTGTGTCAATTTTTAGGGGAAAGGAGCCTTTCAGAAATGCAGCAGAGGTTAGTGAAGTTAACAAATTCTCCATTTGTCGTTGGCGTTAAAACCATCACTGCGTTCGAGAGCCAGGTCGGGTATTGCACCTCCCGGATGTAGCCCGCCTCCTTCACCTCTAGGTCTTCTATCGTTATTGGTTCAACCAACACCCTTGCGATCGATCAAAGTTTTAGTTGCACTGATCGAGTAAAAGGGCTGATATTGAGTCGGTGGCATGCGTCGTTGACTGAGACTCCATTCATCTCTGTGACTATCAAGGCAAACAAGTCTTGATGCGTGTGGAGGATTTGGATCAATAGGTCCCTGTGCCCTGCATCAAAGTTCTCATTGATTAGAAAAATCTTTTTAGGCTTGTCCTCACTAGTTGTGGGCACCCGGAGGATGGTCTCACTGGTCTCGAGACCTCCTTCCCTCTGATTTGAATGTCAAGTGGTTCTTAGTTGACATTAGTGACCGCCCGAAGATAGCAGCTTCTAGACTGCTCCAAGTTCTCTCAGACTATGATTATATCCCCATCTCCAGGAAATTTTACTGCCACGTGGTAAGTCAAATCTACTGCCTGGTAGCTATTCAACAAAGGTCGACTGAAGATCGCATTGTAAGTCGATGAGGATTCTACCACCAATAAGTTCTCTGTGTAGGTGAATTGTTTTTCTTGTTCTCCCATGGTATCTTTCCTCTTGACAAAGAAGTCGAACAACTGGCCGACCGGTGTTGCCAACCAGTTAGTTTTGAGTCTCATTTTGTCGAACACCATTTTGAGTAAAACATTGATCGAACTCCTGATGTAGATTAGAAAGTTGCCCACCTTATAGTTGTTTATGGGGTTGTGACAACGATTGCCTCGTGTGAGTTGCCCTTTGGGGGGAGGGAGATCTAAATCTATAAAATTGTTTGAAGGGTGAGTACTGGTGTAAGAGTTGAGGGAACAAACCTCCCCCAACAATTGTCTCTTCAAGCTTGACGTTCGCGATAACCATCTATCTCCATCAAAGATAATCGAGATGATCCAAGCCGAGTGGATTTTATTTGCTCGAAATGATCCATCTACAAACCCCTCTGCTGAGT